CTAAAAACCTTTCACATGATTTTTTAAAACACCCCTAATTTTAAGGGTATTTTTGTAAGTACCTCTATAATATATACTTTACACGATTCGATTTTTTCCTTAATGCAAGTCCAGTTAGAACCATCTAGCAGGCCCATTAGGAAGATTCTCACAATAATTATTTTCGTATCATACATATATTTGTATAAATTACACGAACCAAAAAATTTTCTTTGATCGACTACTTCAAAGAATAACAAGTACTAAACTACTCTTATAACATTCACACTTCCCTTTCCTCAGGCTGGCAGACGAAGGCCATTGTTTTTGCTCATTGCTAGCCTAAATTTTCTTAATTCAATGAATTGTGCTCAAGTATAATACAGGTGACTTTATGCCCTCCAATCCCCTGTTCTAGAACATTGACTGGAAGAACAATCACCATACATCCCGTAGATACCTTCCGGTCATCTGCAGATTCTTCACCATGCTCTCAGCTTTCGTGCTGTCCAGAGATCCCTGAAATAGGCAGACTTGTTAGTAATTTTTATTGATTAAAAGTAAAACCGAATCAGAAAAGCCAGCAAAACAAACATGCAAATTTATAGCGATTCACACTTAATGTGAGAGCTATGTCGACTTGCTTGCTGCATGTTTTTTCATAATAATGGAATAGAGTACAAGACTTTTTTTCTCACATCCCCTACATGGAAACGGCAACCCTAAAAAATACCTGATATCAGAACTTTGGAGTAATTCTATACCAGTATGAAATTATCCAATATAGCCCTAAAAACTCCTTGGAGGCAGTATGATCCACATTAGAGGGAGTAAGTACATGAAATGATCAGGCACCAAACATCCACCAGTAATGTCCACAAGACACGTCACTCTCTTTAATTCTCCACTTCAGAAGTCACATTTCCGCTATTATTGCATTTTAATGGGTGGGGGTAGGTGGCTTAAGAAAATGACAAATAACTTTTAAATAATGCAGCTGTTTCCTAAAATCTCGAAAAGCTTAAATGATCCTCCAAACAAGTTGGCACATGGTACATATCTATCGACTTCAAACATATTAATGTACGGAAAGGCATGGTCACGGAAAGGACAAGCCAAATGGCTTAAGGAACCCACAAAACGTACATTGTTGGGGAGGGCCATCATAACCTATGAAAGAAAAACAGACGTGTTTTGATAAGATACATACCTGCTCTTGTGCAATTGTGTGGAGGGTTCGGTGTACGTCCCTAGCCATGCCTTTGGCATCACCACAGACATAAATGTAGCCTCCATCAGAAAGCATGTTCCAGATATCTGAAGCCTGCAATACACCAAACATGTTATATTGTTATTAAAATCTAAAGAAAGGAATAGTAACTCATAATGAAAATATGTTAATAAAATCTTGATATGGAGCTTTTTGCGAAGCAAGCAGAGAAATCAAAACGAAAAATGGTCTCGCACCTTCTCAGTCATCTTGTGTTGCACATATTCTTTTGTGGGTCCTTGACGTGAGAAAGCAACTATTAGCTCAGAAATTACACCGTCTTGGACAAAGTTATTTAATTCATCCTCATATATGTAGTCCTGCAAATAGCAGCCAATAAATTTAGAAACCCCACATTTCATATTTTGATCACATTACAAAAACTATCTAAAGAATATCTGAATATCATCCAAACAATTAACATGTTAAAAAGATTGAAGAAACTTTACGGATGATATTAATCACTAACCATTTTACTGTTCCTGCATCCGAAAAATAATATGGCAGGACCTAGTTCTGCACCTGATTCCTTCAGAGCTAATCTTTCCTGCAAAATTAATGTTATACTTGTCCTGTCAGCTCGAATTCTATTAAAAGAAACAAGGATCAAATAGTTATAATCTGAAGTGCTTTCATACAAACCTGAAGGAAACCCCTGAATGGAGCCAGGCCAGTGCCAGGGCCAATCATTACTATTGGTACTTTAGGATCAGCAGGAAGTCTGAAGTTAGAGGTCCTAACAAAAATTGGCGCCCAACTGCAGTCGGGGCTTTCCTCCAAAGGCACGGCATTCTGGAAAAAAAAAAAGGCCGGAGTGAGTCTTGACGCACAAGATATTCAAGTTAGAAAAGTGAGTCTAACACAAAGATGCAATGTCAAGAGACGTGGAAAAAATTATGTATGACATGCAAATACATTTGCGATAAGCTGTTTGTACAATCTCGACAAACAGTATAAACCCCGAAATTCAATTTGAAAACAAAATCGTTACCTTCATCCATGTTGAGCAGACACCCTTGTGGATTCGTCCTGTGGGTGTTTTTTCATATACCAATGCACAAGTTACATGGATTCTAGAAGGTGCAATCCTGCCAAAGAACAATCAGACAATGAGCACTTGAAGGCAAGGATTCTGAAAAATAGAGAATCAAAAACATAAGAAAACAAGAAAGGAATCTTATTTAATCACGAAGTATTGACATCAATTAGCCATATGGACAATCTACAAAGAAGATCCCCTAATGCAAATGTACTTAAAATATAATAGAATAGACAATATCACAAGAAACGCAAAGTAACAAATTACTTGGGAGATGATGAGATAGAATAAAATCTGGGTTGCAGGCGAGGAGAAACTGCTGCAAAGAAAACACCTAGTGGAGGCTTGGCTGATGGGAATTCTGCCATGACCTCAAGGAGGCTTCTCTGATTTGCAACTACCCACTGCGCGTATTCCTCCTGAATAAACAGGTATAGCCACATCAGAATAATGAATTATGTTTAATTAAACATCAAAATGAGGATTGAACATATCCATACCTTTCCAGCAGGGGATGCAAGATATCTGAGACGGTCAGCTTCACTTGGATCAGAAGCATAACTCGCTAATGCAATTAAAGCAGACTGGAAAACAAGTGCAATGAAGCATTAATACCTCATTACTCACATGGTAGCCCAAAATGAACATTGTTACTTATATAGGGATAAAAAGTACCTTTTTTGGAGCACTCAAGATATCGGCATATCGGATCAGTGCTGTTCGTAAAGTACAAGGAGGGAAGGGAGGTGGCAAGGAGCTTCCACTTAGTGGTGTGCCATCCTCTTTATCAGTGTGAATGGAGAAGTAAGTATCTGGAGGCATATTTAGCAACCGTTCAGCCTCCTCGACAACTTCAATCAGATTGTCACAGTACACACCAACATGGTCTCCAGTTTCATACCTGAGGAGTAGAAGAATATTAGTGAATAAGATGTGAGTAAAAAAAATGATACTGTGTGATAGTTACTGGAAGACAAGTAATTAAAATGTGCTAGGTGATGTAAAATAGAAACTTACAAGAGACCAGTGCCAGAAATATCAAACTCCAAATGAGTGCAAGAACGGTCAGATGCATGAGTGTGAAGCTCCCTCTTCACAGCCACATTAGCTCTTCAAACAAAGCACATACTAGATTTCAGGTAACAATCACAAGGAGGAACTTTAAATAATATTAAGCCATAGAATTAACAGAGTAGAACAGCCCAGACAAAGCAAGCACATTTGATACCTGCAGGGATGTTGAGCATCATGAACAGTGTTTCCATTGGCATGAATAGAGCCGTTCTCTAGAACTGATGCATCTGGTTTGTCATGGAATACAACACGATATTCCAATACAGCAGCAGTGTATGGAGTAGCAATGGTGGCATCATCCTCATCTCGAAGCAATTGATCCAACTCAGGCCACACTAACTCACGCCTATATCACCAAAGAAAAAGTAAAATATTTAAGCTATTACCCTTGTGTTTTTAAGATAATAGAATATAATAGCTTATAACTAATAATTCATGATCCTAGTACCATGCAGCAAAGTCATCCTCAATGCATTGATCATCATCTCCAAGACCCACTGGGACAAGACGTTTCCCACCTGGAATGGGACAGAGAGCAGGTAAAAGCGGAAAGCAATAAGAAGAGGCAAGATCATGTAAGAACTAATCGTTAGAATGTTCCAATTAGTGATTGGATTTTTATTCAACGTTCAAAGAATTAAACTAAGCTCTTTTTTGAATAAGATTTTTTGCGAAATGATTCTAAAAGTTTCTTTTTTTTTAAAAAAAAAAAAAGAATGTCTGGTTGAAAATGAATGTAAGAGAGAAGTGATTCTCAAATAATCAAATCGAACAAGGCCTAAGATGATTTCCAATTATAATGGCAAAAACACTTGTGAAATACACCTTCTTGTCAGACATACACCAAATCTTGATTACTCAAAGTCACTATCAAATACATAATTGAGAAAATGGAGTTTATATAAATTTCTCTAGGGACTGCAATTAGCATTGAATTTTTAACTTCAGAATAGATCTCAGTGAAAACCTACCTTGCTCAGCAACCAGGTCATCCACTACTTTTGCAATCTGTTAATCCATGAAGTAAACAAACAATATTTTAGTGAACAATCAATCAACAGAAAAAAATAAAAAATAATGCCCACCTGCCAATATATGAAAATTTGTGTAACTAAAAAGAAAAGCAGAAGCTAGATAGATCTGAGACCTTGTTGAAATGCTCATATTGCCTGTTCCCAAGGCCAAATACTCCATACTGGAGATTCTTGAGCCAATCCCCTCTCTCTTTTCCCTGCACCACACATACTCAGAAATTGATCCCAATTTTCATCGAGTATGAAGAACCCAAGAACTTACTATCTAATTTTATACTTTACCTCTGTAAAACATTTGTAGAACCTTGCTGCATTGTCAGTAGGTTCACCATCGCCATATCTGAAATCAACCAACCGTCACCAAACTTAATAACACCCAAAAGATTCATTTATTATCAGAATTGGCACGCACACATTCACACGTTCGAGGCTTCATAATTAAACTGATTCAAACAATTCATCACCATAAGACTAGGAAATACACAAAAAAGAATAAGCAAAACTTAAAGGAACCTACGTAGCGAGGAAGAAGAATGCTAAAGTCTCCTTCTTCAACTTCTCCTCATATTCTTCATCATCAGCAGCATAGTCATCCTATCACAGTCAAAAACATCCAGATCACATCTCTATAGTCTATACAAGTAAAATAAAAAAACTATAAGCATTTTATTTTAAAAAGAGGAAAAATATAGATATAAAAAGCTCACCAAATCAATAACTTTAAACTTGGCCTTCTCATATCTCGCATTACCTTCTTCAGCAAGTGCCTACATAACAAGATCAACATTGATCTGAATTAATCAAACTTAGTCAAGAATCTAATATCAAAATTATAAGGTCTCTTACACCATCCAGCCAAAAAACAAACTAGCTAATTGAAAGCGCCATGTACTTCATCATATTTCCAATATTGACTAGACCTTGTTTTTTCAATTCTCATTTTCGACTTAGCATCTTCCATGAATCCAAGTGAATCCCTTTTTTTAGGGGAGAATCGGAATTCAATTATTACTACTTTTTCACTTAAAAATTTGCCTTTCCCCTCATTTTCTCTTCACAGAGCAGTAAAAAGGTATACTACCTTAGCAAAGCCTTCAGCAGTACCAGTTTGGGTACCGAAAAAGATGGCGACCTTTTTCTTCCCACCGTCCACTTCTTCCGGCTCAGCCACGGCCTTGGGTATGACCAGCTTTGGCGGCTCCACGGCCTTCTTGGCCGATCCGGCAGCCCGACGCCACACTAGCACCACGACGCACCCGATCAGCACTGCCACGGAGGTTGTAAGCACCATTATCAAGTCCCTGTTCTCCATCAGCATCGTCACCAACGCCGGCGGAACCTCCGATGAGCCATTCGACTGGTCGAATTTCACGCCCCTTAGGATAGCAGTCATCAAATCAAACGGAGAGACCTTCTCTGAAGAGGAATCCATGAATTATAACTGTTTGAGCTAGATTTTTATCCAATTCAAGAATTATGGACCCTTTGGTCAATCAACAAAATCAGCCAATTTCAAGAAAAATTATGAGTTCCCTAGAGGCTTCCTCTCTCTTTGTTAATTGAGTGGTGTTGTTAGGTGACTTTTGTTGAGAGCGTTTAGGTGAGTTCGGAGAGACTCTGACTTCTAAGAAGTGAGAGAGAGTGCACTTTATATAGACACACCCCCGCAGAAAAAGAAAGCAAGTGCAGGGTGCAGTTGGGGAGTGGGGGTGAGGAAACAAACAAACGCCTACCAAACCAGACTAGTCAAATTCACCTAACACAAATTAACCATGGTTAGATGGGAAATCTCATATATTGAGGGATTGGGTTATGCCACTTTGTCCGGAAGAAAAATGCTAGAGGTACATTACCTATGACATAATTGTTCACATAATGTAAATGTGGCAGTCATCCACTTGTTGATGTGTAAGTATAAAATTTGAATTAAATGTTGGATCAACTGACACGTGTAATTATGTGAACCATTGTGTGAATGGTGATGTACCCCTAGCATTACTCTTGTCCGGAAATGGTTGACAGATGGAGTATCATAATATTGGTTGCAAAATGTGATTAATGAAAAAATTGATTGTATTCAAAACAGTTCAACGATGAAATATGACAATATATACACACACACATTGATTGACATCTTTTATGTATCAAAAAATATTGACGATTGATTGAAAATGTGTTCTCAAGATCAATGTATCAAAATTTGTCAACTCATATGAGTGTAAATCAATGAGTCAACATTCATGTATTTGAGCATATTATTTTAAAAACTCATTTTCAACCACATATTCTTTTATAAAATAATTTTACAAATAAATTAGTTTTTTTTTTAATTTTTAATCACATATTTTTTAAAAANTTTAATTTTTAATCACATATTTTTTAAAAAGAAATTAATTCCAAAAAACACGTTTCTCCACCAAAAAAAAAAAAAAAAAGAACCCAGATAAGGGTTAGTTTTTATTGAAAAAAGGAACCCAGACAAGGGCTAGTTTTTATTGATTTTTAATATATAACGAAATAATTATTTAGTTATTGCGTTGTCGGTTATTTTCTTAGTTTCTTTAATTCAATGAATTGATTCACATGTCAAAAATCTTATAAGAATATTTATATTTTATGTTTCAAAATATTGGTATAGATTATAATCTACTAAAAATTTTAAGTCAAAATCATTAGCTAATATAAAATTATAATTTTTCCACTAATAATGTAGCTTAACATATAACTAACTTAGTCCCTCTTCAGTAGGGATTAAAATTCAAAGTATAATTTAAGTCAAAATCAACATTTAATTTTAATCACATATTTTATGGAACCTACAATTTACCAACCACACATTTTATTAAAATTTACTAAAACTTTGATTTTGACCTACACCAGATAGGGGCTAACAAATTTAGCCACATTATGGCGCTTCAAGCCTCTGTCTTGAGAGCCTCTACACAGAGTGTAATTCGATATTTTAAGCCAGTGTTTGAGCTACATTATTTGATGGCTCATTTTTCTTTAACCTCATTTTCAGTTACACATTCTTTCAATAAAATAATTTTACACGTAAACTCAAAATTTTTTCCTATTTTTTAACTATGTATTTTTTTTTAAAAAAAATCATTATTACAAAATATATTCACTCAAAAAGGGGCTGAAATAAACACCAAGTAAAATTTGAACAGTGGAGTAGGGGTACTAGAGAAAAATCAAATAACAAACTGATATGAAATGAATATCATTTATAAATAAGTTATAATTATTTTATATTTTTATTATTTTGTAGTTTTAACATTTTCAAAAGAATCTCTATTTGTAACAATCATTTTAGGTGTCGCTATTTCCATCCACAATTTATATATATATATAATTCTTTGCTACCCTCTCTCCCCACAATTTTATTTTTACTATTCTGCATAATTTTCATTTTCAACGGTTGTTCAATTTCAATTCAAACCCTTTAACTTACCATCTTACCCCCGAATTACACCCACCTTCTTGCAACTTCTTTTCCAGTTCTTCAAAATAATAGAAATGATAAATTTAGAAATAGAAAGAGGAAAATTATCAAAAGATGCAAAGCTTTTAGTAGAATGTGCAAGGACCTTTGGCAGCTTATGCTAAGAAAATGGAAAGACCCTCTGTTTCTTGCTGTGAGTTTGTTTATGTTTTTTAATTACTGGAACTCCTAATTATTTTCATTCATTGTGTACTACTCGTTTCTGTAATTTTTGAGGGAAATTACAAAATGGGTATAGTTTTTTAAAAATTTTTTTACTATAATTTGCTTAATAAATATAGTATCTATAATACTATGCCATATGTTCATTATTCAATTTTCAAAGCAAATGTTTTCAATTTTTAAACATAAGGTGAATGTTTTCAATTTCGGGAAACATATGTTTTATTTAAAATGTTGAGATTACTAGTGTTATTTTGGCTTTTCTTCTAGTGGAACAAATGCTCAGGGTAACAATCCATCCCAAATCAAACTCCGTTTTCTTTCAAATCTCTTACACATGTATGTGCGACTATTAAATCTGAATCGAACACTTCGGTTTGACCCAAGAGTTATAACACTCATTCTGAATTCTTCAAAATCAGAAAGTTACTTGTTTGCACTTTTATTTTCCTTTAGTTCTCAATTTTCACTGAATGCAATTCCGTCATCATGAGTATTGAGCATAACCTTTGGATCACCAATGGTTTCTTGGACCAAAATCAACTTTTGCTTGACTTCAGAAGGTATCATTGTTTCATGTTTGAGTTCGGGGTAGTGTTAGATGGAGGGATAAAGGCAACCTTAGTTTTTGGGATAAATTTAGTAATTTTTAAAATTACAATGGGGATAGATTTAGAGGGATGAATATATAAAAGTGAAGTGGATATATAGTTTTAAAATAAATGAATATATTAAGGTTAATATTGGAATAAATGTGGATAAATATAGTACTTTTTATAAAATTTAAAATTTTAATAGGTATGAACTTATAGTGAGATAGATATATAAAATTTGTGGATGGAAATAGCCGTACTCTCATTTTATATATAATGGATAAAATTTAGAGAGACAATATTTTTACACTCCAATAATGCTATCTGTTTTGACTCTTCATTTTACTTTTAAAAAAAAATTATTGATTTTTCATCTTTTTTTATTTAACATAATTCTTTTATATGTTAATGACCAATAAATTCAAATTTGATTTGAATAATTTAGGAAGTAGAGTATTGAATAGATTGAATCTCTTGAAATTCATCTTTAACTCCTTAAAATGGATTATATTTTATATTTAGAGACTTCATTGAAGATCTCTTAGTTGATAAGTTGTACCCTAGTTGTTTAAGAAATGCTCATGGTATGGTATGGTATATATGTCCAAAGCTCTTGTCATCAGTGAATATCTATGATAATAAATGTATGTCCAATACTACTCAACCAAATTATCAACTCACGAAAATCACTATATGTGAAATGCGACTTCCATGGCCCCATAAATTTCTTTAAAACTGAATAAAGCGTTTCCAATAATTCTTCTAGAAAATATTTTTCAATTCTAATCGCATTTCACCCATTTGATTTCTAATTGTATCCAATTGATTATATATAATTTTCAATCATCGTTTTATATACCGAATCAACTATGTATATTTACACTTTGATCCCCAGACTTTGGACTTTTGCAATTTTCTCGTTCATATTTTCTAATTCCAACAATTTCATCGAAATTTACTTAACAAATACAATATACATAGAATTAAGCAATAATTTATTAAAATATCCAATAAATATTCTAATTTAAACGTCTAAATAAGCATACAAATTGCGCTTATCACTAGGGTTTTTAGGGCTTAAATTGT